ATCATGCTGTACCACAGTGCGTGGAAGACTGGTCCAAATCCTTTAATGTACTACTCGAGGAAGAATAATTATTAGCTAACTAGAGGCATTGTATCATCGTCCTAAAAAAAATAACTTATAGCCAGGCTCAGTTGTACATATGCCTTTAGTCCCAGCTACTCGGGAGGCTAAGGTGGGAGGATCACTTGAGTCCACGAGTTCAAGGCTCTTGTGTGCCATGACCACACCTGTGAATAGCCACTGCTTTCCAGGCTGGGCAACATAGCAAGACCCTATCTCAAACAAACAAACAAACAAACAAAAAAAACACCTCAACTCTGCAAGCTTATGTAACCATATTACAGAGCATATTTTTCCCATTTTATAGAGTCTTTAAGTTCACATCATTTGTGTGACTCTGGAGTTACACAGGAAAATGATGATTAATACTACTAATGCTACTTTATGGCAATTTAAATGCTTCATATGATCCTATGGACCATTATTTCCATGCTTGGATACAACATGCTATAGAAATTAAGAGTCTGAGCTTTTGAGTGAGAGATCTGGGTTCAGAGCCCAGTTCTTCCATTTACTAGCTCTGTGACCTTGGGTTAAGCTTCAGTTTTCTGATTTAGAAATCGGGGATCACTTCTTGGCCTTTTGGCTACAATCAAGTGTAGAAAATGGGGATGTTCATGTAACTGTCTCGCAGATTCACTGTGAGAATCGAATGAAACTGTGAGCGTTTCGGGGGCTGGTGCATTGTTTCAACCCTAGTTAGCTTTCTTGAGCATATTTCCTTTACCGTTTAGTTCTGCTTGTTTGTTTTATTATGAGCAACTTTCTCTTTTCTTTCTACTCCCCTAGGGATATAAAACCTGACAACATTTTACTTGATGAACATGGTAAGTAAATGACTTATTTGTAATCGAGTACAAGACCTGCACGTAGAACAAGTTGATTATCCCCAGCAGAGGAGTATTACACATGGAAAAGATGTCTTGCTTGAGCTTATTGTATGGGGAGGAGGGACAATATGGGGAGCTTTATTATTTATAGCAGTGGCATAGTGCAACAATACAGCCTTAAATAACATTGAATTTGCCTCATGAGAAAAATCATTCCCTACTCAATTTTCTTCTACTACTACTTTTCTTCAAGAAAACCATCACCGTTTTTTTGGTGCTAGTTTACCTTAATATCACATAATCACCTTTTTTTTTTCTGTTTCATAAAGACAGAGCAGGCCTCAAGCTTAGAGCATTTGACTGGAAATCGCATT